GAGAAGGCCAAAAACATAGAAAAAAAACAATCAAACTCTACAATTTTGGCCTCTTTCGGGCTTTCCCGGGACGCCTCTCGGACCTTTCTTGAAGCCTTTTCGAGACCTCCAGGGAGCGTGCAGAGCCGTCCGCAGGGTGTTTTGGACTGCTTGGGAGCGTCTTGGGCCGTCCTTTACGTTCTGGGAGCTTCTTGGGGTCGTCATAGGCTGTCCTTCGGCGTCTTGGGATCTCCCCAAGAAGCTGGGAGGCGCGGTACCGGCCAGATGTCAGGGAATGTGTAGGACCCCCGGGTAAGAGTTCAACTTTGAAACAAAAAGGGATGATTGGAATTCCCTCTTCTTTTTTTCAAACTTCTCGATCTTTGAGGGGTGGAGGCGGGAAAACGTGAGAAGGCGAAAGCAGCTCTCTTGGGCTGTTCTTGGAGCCTCGTCGGGGTCTTTCTGGGGCCTCTCAGGGATGGGGGGGTGTTGGGGGCCTCTGGGTGGTCCCGGAGGCCTCTCGAAGATCTCTGGAAGCCTCCTGCTCCCGCTCTTGGGCCCATCTTGGGCCTGTTCTGGGGTTGTCTGGGGCTGTCCTGGGCGCCTCTTCGGCAGTCTTGAAGCCTTCTTGGCACGTCTTGGGGCCGTCCTGAGGGTCTCTTGGGTGGTCTTGGGGCGGTCTTGGGAGCCTCTCCGGCGCTCTTGGACCGTTGGAAGCTCGAAAACGCGAGAAGCCAAAAACATGTGAAAGAACAAACAAAATCTACGATTTGGGCCTCTTCGGGCCGTCCCAGGACGCCTCTCGGACTCTCTTGGGGCCCTTGCAGGCCTCCTGGGAGCCTCGAGAGCCGACAGAAGGCTGACTTGGGCTGCTTGGGAGCGTCTTGGGCCATCCTTTCGCATTCAGGGGGCTCCTGGGAGGCGTCTTGGGCCCTCCTGGAGCGCTGTGGAGGCTCCCTGGACAGGCCGGGGGGAACGGTACTGAGAGCGTCCCCGAGATGTCACGGGGAGGTGTGGGACCTGGGGCCAGGGGGGCGGTAATTATGTTTATTTGTATTATTTGTTGTCTTACTATTATGATTTGCATTCGTAATCTTATTATTGCTATTTTGTATCATTGATACTATTAGTACATGGTCGTAGTATTAGTAGTATCATTAGTATGATGATTATTATGAGTAGCAGTAGTATTAATACTATTAGTATTATGATTATTACTATTGTTAGTTTAATTGATAATGGTATTAGTATTACTATTATAAGTATTATTAATAATATTATTAGTGGTAATGTTCGTCTTCGATTTAGTATCAATAATATGTTTGATGTGTCTGATATTGAATAGCACTGTTCCAAAAAATGATAATAATAATCATAAGACGTATATGTATATAGCTACGTGTGTATGTACACACACAAATACATATACGCATATACACAAATATACATACATACATATACACATATATAAACATAAATACAGACAGACAGACAGACAGACAGACAGGCAGACTGACAGGCAGACAGACAAACATGCCAACATACGTAAATACGTACAAACATAAATACATACATACATACATACATACACAAATATGTACACACATATACGTGTGTGCTCCTACACTCATGCATCCTGGAGGGAAAAACGCCCCCGCGCACACGCGCGCACACACGCACGCACTCACGCACGCACACGCACACGCACACGCACACGCACACGCACACGCACACGCACACGCACACACACACACACACACAAACACACACAGACACACACATACATACACAGACACACACACACACGCACGCACGCACGCACACACACACACACACACACACACACACACACACACACACACACACACACAACACACACACACACACACACACACACACACACACACACACACACACACACACACACGCACACGCACACAGACACAGACACACACACACACACACACACAAACACAAACACACACGTACCTTTTTCAACGGTCCTCCCCCGCCCGGGAGCACCCTTCGAACGGGCCCCCGAGCCTTCCCAACCAGCCGCCCGCGCTCCCCAGGTCGACCTATATAGCCGCTCCGAATCGCCGAACGTTCGGGCGAAACGCTCGCAATGGCCCCCGACGGACGGCCCAAGACGCCCGAGGACGGCCCCCAAAGGGCCCAAAAAAACTCACGACACCCCCAAAAACGCCGCAACATGCAAAAATCACGCATTGAGGTTTTGGACAGATGTTGGCATTCCCGCCATTCATGGCATCGCATCCCACGAGGGCCCAAAAGGCTTCCAAGATCCCACCGAGACCGCCCAAGAAGCCTCCAAGACGGCCCCGCAACGGCCCAACAGGGCCCCCAGACCCCCAAGCGGGCTCCAAGACGGCGCGCAGCGGGCCCCACGCCCGCCCGGGGGCGCGCCCGAGGTAGCCCCACGGGGCACCAACATGGCCCAAGACGGCCCCAAGACGACACTCGGGGCCCCCACGGCGCCACAGCGGCCCCCCACAGCCCCCCAACAGTGGCCAAACCTTTCTTCCACAGGCCTCCAAGACGCCCCCGACGGGGCCCCCGCAAACGGCATGAGACATCCACAAGGCCATCAACCCCCCCAACCGGACCCAACAGGACAATAGGTTATCTTTCTGCTGCTCGCCCCCCCCCCCCCTCCTGGCCCCCCGCCCTTTTTCCCCGCGAGGCTCACAGCAAGCGCCAACGAACCCTCGGGAGCGCCTCAAGACCCCGAATAAGCCCGCACCACTCAAAAACCTTCGCTCCTCTGTCCGCAATGATACTTCTCTGCTGTTCTCATCCCTTCGACGCTTCGCATCTCCCACGACGGCGCCAGGAGAGCCCTGCTTTGCCCCTGAGACGGCCCAACAATCTGCCAAGACGGCCCCGCGCCTCTCGGCGCGCCCCAAGACCACACAACAACACAGCCCAAAACAGCCCTACAAGGCCTCAGGAGAACGTCCAAGAAGTCCTCCAAAGTCCCCGAAGTTCCCTGGGCGGGCCCAGACGACTCCAACACGTTCCAATGTTTCGCCCACGCCTCCTGGCCTGGGGCCCGAAATCTTCCAATATGTTCAAATGTTTGCCCACCGCTCTTGACCCAAAGCCCGCCAAAAGAAGCCCCTCCTCATATTTCTCCTGTTGCACTCCGTCTTTGCCATCCCTGTGGGCGACTCGCCGGAGCTGCTCAGCAACCTCAACGCCCGTTCGGCAGCGTCTCTCCACATCGCCCGCGTCGATCACCCAGTGGGATGAGTGGCCTAGCGTCCGCGAGGCAACGCGAGAGTCGCGCCTGAGCTTGCTCGACGCGCTGAAGGCCTAGCACCCACGGGATTACGGGCCCAATAATTTCACATGCCACGAAAATTCCGCCGGGCCCCCCTCGTCATCCCGAAGGCCAGCCGCCGCATCATCGTCCAGAGCACAATCCAAAACTCCTTCTCGCGGTCGAAATTCACCCGGTTCCGCCTCGCCCGCGTTCGGGGGCAAGCTGAAGGCGTTTCCATCAGTAGATACGGCATCGGAGACGGCACGCAACCAACTCAGGGCAATGGAGCCAGTGACTCGGGATTCGTGCCTCTGCGCGGCGTCGCCACCGCGGCAGACGAAGCAGCGGCCGTTCGACGCGCATTTTCTCACATCAACGACCCGCACGACTGAGTGAACACCTAGATCCTCGCCGCCGTGAACACGATGGTGGACGCGCACAACGAGCGTATTCTTAACGTCCTGGAACGCACGTACATTTGCCCTTCCCACGTTTTTCTCAGCGCCGGCACGCTGGACATCGATTTTGCGGGCCTCACCGAGCCGCACATGAATGAAGAGTTCCTCACGCTCCAGAACACCCCCGTCGCGCCGCCCCATTGCACATTGAGGTCGGAGGCCTCTTCGAGTTCATGAAGAATTTCAACCCTGCCGAGCGACTCATGAACCATGTGGCAACCATAATCAAAGCGGCCCACCACCACCACATCCTCACAAAGATTTTCGACGACCACGAGCACCCTTTACCGTGCATCGTTTTCCGCTGGCAGGTTGCCAACGGCATGTCCACCATGGCCCGTCGACTATATCCTCTGCGGGCGGCGCACACGTCCACTTTCGATGGAAGCCAGGGCCGCACGCTCGCGCGCGCGTGCCATGACGTGCGCCAGAACCCCTTTGCCCATGGGCATCTTTATGTGGGCGCAAGTAGCCTGGGGAACCGCGCCGACATGCGCGGTTTCCCCGACTGTGACAGTTCTGACCAGAACGGCAACGCATTAGTGCGCAACGACGTCTGGTTTGAGTTCTTTTGCGATCGGACCCGCCCCGTCCGAATCACCCTGGCCTTCCTCCGCGCAAACGACCCGCTGCCTGCCGATGGTGACTGGGGAAAATATGTTCAATGCGTGGCCGTACCTCCTCGAACGCTCCATTTCGCCACCCCTTCTCCCGGCGATGACCTTCACCCCCTTCGCGGTCATCAAAATCGCCCCCTCGTCGCGCCGTCGACGATCGTCGAATCCACCCCGCCACGTCGTCATCATCCTCCTCGTCGTCCTCCTGTTCATCCTCCTCTTCATCCTCCTCCTCCTTGAAGCTTCAAGGCATTCATCCATGATTTAATCCCGCTCACGCTCATGGCGTTGTTCCTTGACCGTTATGACCGCGACCCCCCTCGTGGTCACCGTTTCCTCCCACCTCCCATTGGTGACTATGGCCTCGTCAGGGCAATGCCCCCTTCTCCGAAGCAAAAGAAATGTCTGTGGCCTACCCAGAATGATGACCGTGACCCCTCTCGTGGTCATCACCTGTTTGCACCAACCATTAATTCACCGGGTGCTTGGTGTGCATAGACGCAGGACCAAGATTGAGGCGAAGCGAAACGAGCCCTCAAGTCTTGTGTATAAACAGATATCTACATTCAAGCGTGTGTGTAGCCTACGGAAGATAAGGAGCACGAAGAGGAGCAGGAGCAGAAGCAGGAGAGGCACATGCTTGGACAGACCCGCCGAGTCCTGCACGGCGCACAGGGGCAGCAGCCCAGGACACTCACTGTCCGCCAGAGCGGCCGCCTCGTCGGGGTCCTCTGCCGGCAGAGCACCCCTCTGGTCCTCCCTCTACCTTCTTTTGCCCTCACCATCCCTTCGCTCTCCTCCCTCCGCATCCCTCCTCCCTCCTCCTCTTTCTCCTCTTTCTCCTACTCCTCCTCCTTCTCCTCCTCCTCCTCCTCCTCCTCCTCCTCCTCCTCCCCCTCCTCCTCCTCCTCCTCCTCCTCCTCTTCCTCCTCCTCCTCCTCCTCCCCCCCCTTCTTCCTTCTCCATCATCATCGCCATGCGTCTCTTGGAGGAGAAGGCAGGGGGGAAGGGGTTCCCAACTGAGGCTCTTACAGCTGGCCTCGTCTTGTGGCCTCGAGTGCGGGGCTCCCGAATGCATGGTACACTCCCAGCAGCATATCAAACAATAAAATGCCGAAGCACATAACTATAAGCAAAAACACTACTGGCACTGCCCTGGGTTGGTGGCCCTGGTGGCCGCTGCCGCTGGGGTGGTGGATGAAGACTGGGACGGTCTCGACAAACTCAATCTCCTGGAGTCCCGTGCGCACGATTCGAAATCCCGATCTGTTTCGCTTTGCTGTGTTCGAAAATTCGGGCCCGACGAGCCGCCCTGGGCTGCACTCTCACGGCTCACGAAACGAAAACCCTTGTGCCAGTGGTTGGCGTTCAGCTGCGGCGCTAGGCAGCACGGTGGCGGTGAGCGCGAGAAGACTTGCTGCGCTGTGGCCACGCGCGAAAAGAGGAGAAGGGGTGATGGTGTAAGGGACGGGCTAAGGATGACAAGGCAGGCAGGAGGGAGGGAGAAATGATAATGCATCATCGACGGATTGCGAACATTTGGGGGTACAAGAAGGAGGGAGGAGAGGTATATGGCGAATGAACAGGAGTAGTACTGAAGAGGCTGGACCTTAGATAACCATGACGGGAAACTTGTGATGATAACAGTGAGGAGCAAGAGGAGGAATATAGGTATGATGATAAGTATGATGATAAGTATGATGATGATGATGATGACGGCGGTGATGATAACAATGGTGATGATGATGTTGATGATGCTGATGATGCTGATGTCGATGATGGTGGTGATGAGAATGAGAATGGTTATGGAGGTGATGATGCTCAAAATGATGTTGATGTTGATGATGACGGCGATGCAAATAATAACCACGACTAAATACAACAACGAGCCCGACGATATTGAGGACGATGATGCTGACAATGACGATGACAATGGTGATTATGACGCTGATAGCGGTGGCAGTGATGATAATGATGACGAAGATGAGGATGATGGTGATGATGCGTCTGGTAGTGATGATGCTAACGATGATGATGATGATGATGATGACGATGACGATGACGATGACGATGACGGCGATGATGGTGATGATGGTGAAGGTGATGATGACGATGGTGATTGTGTTGGTGATGATGGTAAAGTGATAACGGTGATGATGGTGATGAGTATGATGTCAATGATGGTGGTTGTGATGATGATGCTGATGATGGTTGTGATGATGGTGATGGTGATGGTGATGGTGCTGGCGATGGTGATGGTGATGAGATTGATGATGATGGCAACGATGATCTCGACGCCCCCTGGTCGCTGATTTCGGGCATGCCTCGCCGAAGGAGCGCGCGCGGTCACTGCCCCAGCGCCACTGGCGTCGCGTCGGCGCACCACAGCACGACCATCGCGCCGATGCGCTCCGCGAGCGCGCGCGCCGCCGTGCCCCGGCGGCCGCCGCCGCGCAGCCGCGACGCGGCCGCGAGCTCTGCGATGCCCGCCGCCGCACCCTCGCACAGGCGCCCACCAGCCTCGACGGCAACGCCGCGGCCAGCGTCGCCGTACCGGGCCGCCTCGGCGTGGTCGCCCGCCGCCGCCACGGCGCCTGCGACCCAGAAGGCCGCGGACAGGGAACTGCAAACGAGCGCCTGCACGTTGACCCCCAGCCACCACAACCGAGCGGAGGTGGGGAAACCCACGACCTCATGGATCGACCCGTCAGGTCTGAGCTGACATAGCTCAGGGATCTGGCGCTCGATGTCCACGACGGCGGCCGCGGCGCGCGGCTTGTGTTTGAGGCTGCGCACGGCAGCGACGTGCGTTCGCACGCGAATGGCGCTGCGGGGCGCGCCAGAGCGCAGGCGGCACGGCGGCCGAGCGGCGCGCCGCAGTCTCGCGCGGCCCCGCCAGCGAGGCCAGCTCCGCGCCTAGGCGGCGACAGAAGACAGTCTGCCACAACGCCACGCTGGCCTGCATCCAACACTGGCGCAGACTCGTCAGCCAGAAGACGCCGTTGCCCTTGCCCGCGCACGACAGCAGGCTCGCCCTAATTAGGCTCGTCGTTGACCTCGAGGCGAAGCCACAGCCGCCCTGCGCGGGGCGCATCAGTGCAACGCCATGGAACAGAAGCCCCAGCACCCGCGGGCGCGGGCCCCCCGTGCCCTGCCGCGCCAGCGGCGGCACCGGCACCGCCCGCGCCGAGCTGGAAGGCGCGCGGCGGCGGCGGCGCCCGAGCTGCCCAACCCAGGAACGGAATCGAAAATCTCGCCCATAGCCCCGGACTCGGGGCACGGCGCCGCACCAGCGGCGGCGGGCGCGGGGCTGGGCTTGGCGGCCTCCGCGGCCCCACCAGTAGCGCGCCCAACGGCCCCTGCCGGCAGCCCTAGCGCCCCAGCCCGCGGCCTCTTCCCCGACGCCAGCTGCGCCGCCCCCGCCCGCGCGGCGCGTGGCCGAGTCAGGCCCACACTGGGCGAATTCCCGCGCGGGCGCCTGCCCTGGGGCGCCCGCCGCGGCCTCGAAGGGCGCTGCTCGGCGCGCCGCTGGCGTTGCGGCCGGGGACGAGTCGTCGATGTCACCGACACAGCGGAAGACATTCTGCAGCAGCGCGTCTGCGGTGAAAGAGCGCGCGAGCACTCCACGACCCTCTCGGGCCCTTCACGCGGCCATCTAGGGCCCAAAATGCGGCATGCAGGGCCCGAAAATACACCATTCTTCCCCCCCAGCCATCGCCCCCACCCACCGCCCATTAAGCAACGCCCAAGCCTCGCCAGCGGCCTCCGGGTCCAGGTCACAGCGCAGAGGACGACCAAGGGCGCGCGCGAGGCGCGGCGCGTCGGCGACGCGCGCGGCCCAGCATGCGAGGCGCCCACGGCGTGCTCCTCCTCGGCGCACGGGGCCCGCAAAGCGGCCCGCGCAACGAGCGGGGGAATGGTGGCGACGACCGGATCCGAGTCGGCCTTCCGCGGGAGCGCAGTCAGGGCGCGCCCGCGCCGCTGGACTGGGCCGCAGACGCCCTTGAGGACCGCGAGGCAGCGCTGGTGGAGGAGGACGCACTGCGTGAGACAGCCGAGCAGCGACTCCACGACGCGCGGAGCCAACTGGAACAGCGCGGCGGCGCGCAGCAGCAGCGACGCCCGCGCGAGCCGCCGCCCCCGCGGCGCGCGCAGCGCCCCCGCCCCCTGTCGAGCTCCGCGCCCAGAATGGCATAACAGGCCACACCGCGCACCACCTTGCCCGGCGCGGCCCGCCGGAAATGCCTCTGGCACGCGCCCGGGGACCGCTCGAGGGCGAGCCCCTCGGCGCAGGCAGGCAGGCGAACCTCGGCTGGCGCCACCCCGGCGGGCGCGGGAGACACCGCCTTGAAAGCATCGATGCGCTGAAGCAGCAGAACACTCCTCGCGGGGGCGGCTGGCTGCCGAGCGCCCCTGCGAGAGGCCCGCCTCCCGGCGCAGCAGCTTGTCGCGGGCGGCGCGCATGAACCCGACTGCCCCGCGGGCGCCCATCGGGGGGCCTCGAAAACAACGCTGCGTGACTGCCCGGCAATCGGCGGGAGGCGGGCCGTCGGCGCCGGGCGCCGCGCACGGCTGGCCCGGCGAGGTCGGACGCTGGCCCTCCAGGAAGGCGGCCGACGGCGGCGGCGCTCGCCCCTGGGCCCTGCCCTCACCGCGATCGAGCAAAATTGCCCGGGTCGCCAAGCGCGGCCGATGCGCCGAGCAGGTCAGTGAGCGCGCGATCGGCCGCCACGTCCGCGAGGCGGCAGCAGGACTCCAGATCTGCTCCAGAGATGGAGAGCGGCTCGCCCGGCCCGAGGTGCAGGTCCAGCAGGTCCGCGGCACCTGCCATCTTGCGAGCAGCGCCTTCGACGCGGTCCTCGCGACCATCTGGGCCACGTCTGTCGACGATCTGCCTGTCCTCCACGTCGCCCACGAGCGGGGCCTCGACCGCGCTGCCGCCCCGCGCCACGCAACCACCGGGCGCGGCCAGCAGCAGCCGCCCCGCGCGCGCCGACTCTGCGAAGAGGCGGCGCTCCACGCGAGCGGAGGCGCGCGCCGGCGGGCGAGACCAGGAATCCCGCAGGCACGGGAGCGACTCCAGGCAGGCCGGGCCCACGGAAGCCGGCCACAGCGATGATGGGAGGAACCAGTCAATCTGCACCCCGCCGACCTGCGGCGGGAACATGGCGCGGTCGGCCTTGACATTGCCAACTGGGGGGCGCCTGATTGGCTCCACCTGTCCGGCAGGCGACGCCGAGAGGCCCCCGGGAAAGGGGCCGCCGAGGTAGACCTTCCGGCGGCAGTCGAGGGAGAAGAAAGACAGCGCGAAGCAAAAGTCCGCGCCCAGGAGGCGACGTCGCCAAGGACGTCCGCCAAACAGAAACCCTTCCTGCCGCCGCCCAGCGACGATATGCGCAGGCTGAGCGGGCACCTACACTGAATCTCGCGCTACCAGACGCGCACCACGCACTGCTGCTCGGGCGCGAGGAAGACGCCAGCGCGCGCCCTCGATGGCGCACTCGGCCCACGTCCGCAGGCAAGGAAGGACAACGCCGCGACGAGCAGGTTGACCAGGCGCTACCGCCCGGCTTCTGCGCGCGCCCGACGGCGGCGGGCGAGGTCACGGCCCGGCCGCGGGGACCCGGCGGCGCAAAGCAATGGGCACGGCCAGCAGGCCCAAGGAGGCAGAAATACCCTCGCCGCCCAAGCAGGCTCCAACATCTGGCGGACGAGGGCCGCGAACGGCA